CAGCAGGGAAGAAGTGGGGACAGAAGCTGACGCTCAGCCTGGGCTCTGCCCCCAGAGGGATGGATGGTGGCATCGAAGCGATGCCAGTCGCCTGGTGCCAGCCCTCCGGTCTGGGGGCCGCTACGCCATGCAGTGGGGGCCGAGGTGGGTGCTGAAGTGGCCACGCCCTGCGGAGGTGCCTGCACCCCCCCCCACCCCCCGCCGATTGCACGGGGACGGAGTTGGGCTCACATTCAGCGTCTGAACAAGGAAGCAGCCCCTTCACCTCCAACACGTGCCAAGCTCAGGCCCAGCTGCCGAATGGCTTGCCCCGGGCCGCGCCGTGGCGGCTCTTGGTGACGCTGACCTCAGTTGAGTAGGTGTGTTATTTTTAAATCTCTCTCTCTCTCTCTCTCTCTCTTGCTCTTTATTAAAAATCTCATTGTGTAACTTGTAAGAACCTTTTTGGTATAATACAGTTACTTCTAACCTTGAAAATAATAAATGCTTTTTATTAAAAAAAATAATAAACCTGAACCGGAATGGACAGGAGCTTCGTCCGGACCCTCTAAAGGAGCGTCTTAGCGCGCGGGGCCTCCTTGGGAAGGACCGAGCGCAGCCACGCTCAGCGCCAGGCCTCTGTCCTCGGAGCAGGAAAATGAGTTCAGCAGGACAGCCTCTCGCTGGGTCCTGGACCGGCAGCGCTCGGAGCTGCTCTGAAACATCTTCATTCTCCCCAACTACCATGTTTCTTGGAACGACTCACCGGAAATTAATAGTATTCCGAGTTTTAAAGTAATTCAAACCACAAGGGCCTTGGGGATCGTGCGCAGCGGTAGCAGAAGGAGCCAGTGGGCTCGGTTCACGGTGGGATTAGTCACGACTGCACATCGACCCCCTCCCAGGACGTGTGTTTCTACGCCGCTGCGTTCCCTGGGCTGCTGTGCTGGGTAGTGAGTGACAACAGGCAGGACAAATAAGGAAAAGATGTCAAATAGCGGGGGAAACGTTAGGCAGGGACCAGGTCTGCGCACGCTGGGTAGCGGCAGGGGGTCCCTGAGGAGGGGTCCCTGAGTAAAGGCCTCCACAGCATGTGAGTCACATGGCCATCTGGGGGGAACATTCCAGGCCAAGGGAAGAGCGTGTGCAAAGGCCCTGGGGCAGGAGTGTGCCGAGGAACACCCGAGCGTGGCAGGAATGGAGGGAGCAAGGGGAGCAGGGTTGGGTGTGAGGACATGGAGGGAGCAGGGGCCATCATGGAAGGCCTCGCAGTGAGGACTCTGGCTTTTGCTCCGAGT